ATAATTAAAGAATAGAACAAAAACGTATATGATAGTTACTTTGTTTACACTATATAGACAAGTAAACAATAAAATTAAACGATTACATTACATGATATTTGAAGTAATTATCAGTATAAAGAATGGCTAGTAATAATATACAGCAATAACATAAAAAACTACTAACACTTTCCAATTGAATAAAATTGCTATCTATAAAAATAGATATTTGCAAAAAAATTATCTTTTCAAATTTAATCTTCACATATATTTATGTTTACCAATATTCAATTTCCTTCTGTTATTTTATATGGATAATATTTCGTGATGAAAATTTTGATAAATCCATTCGTTTTTAAGATAGTAAGAACAATTGCATATCTTCTGAATGTGCGTAAAATTAACTTTCCATTTTGATTATAAAAATAATTATAAACATTTTACAATTATTTACAGTCTTCATGAGTAACCTATGCTGGGTACGATTACTTTTTTAAATGAAATATTTTACATAAATTTTTTTACTTTGTGTATTCGTTTACTTATATCAGATCGAAACTATAGCAATAATTTCATAAGTTTTAACGATATAGCAAACTGCATTCCTATCTCCTTAAAATGAACAACCGCCATCTTAGTAAAGGAAAAGAATATTAAACAAATTAAAAAATAGAGAAAGATCAATAATAGGACATACTACTTTCAATTACAATTGAGTTATATTCTTTTTTGTTAACCCTTCGATGAATATCATATGCTGTTATATCATATGTATATATATGAATTGTATGGAAGAAAAGTTCAATTAAGAAAAAATATATTTAGCATTTTTAACACATAAAAAATTATATTTTAGACAATTGAATACTTGTAATTTTTTTGTTAGTTACACTTAACGATGTATTCAATTTTAAAATAAAATTTATTAATGTAAATTAATGTAACCGGTTGAACTTTTTTAAGTTTATACAACATTATATAAACACCGAAGGGTTAAGCTATTTCCATCTTTATGCATGCTTGATCACCTTTGACAAACAACAGTTCCACGTATAAAGATGCGCGTGATCTTAGATTTATTATTGAGTTTTACATATAAATTTCTATTTGACTTTTCCCATTATATTTCTTTTTTGGTAAAACATTTTTTTAATATAATAACCATATCAGAGTTAAGATTTTTATAATCAAACAAGGAACCTGTTATTCTTTGTAGAAAAGTATGAAACACGCTGCCGTTCATGTTTTATAATATCAGATACTTTTTTGAGCTACCTCATATTTAATAGCTAAACGCCCGACATTATGAATTATTTTACGTTTCTATAATATTTTGTGTAATTTTCTATGATTAATCTATGATTAATATTCCAGTATGTAATTCTGAAATCATAAAAATACATATTCGCAAAAGTATAATTTTTACCCACAAGGTTATTTACGAAACATTATTTCAGTTACCTATATATCATACAATTTTTGTAAGAATGTTATCGAACTTGCGATTCACACACAGTATGGGTTTATGTAATTATTTCTTATGTAACAATTGCAACTCATACTGTCATTCAAGGTGTGAGTAAAAATGATGTATGAAAATGTGACATATTTTCCTTATCTAAGTCGCTTATGACAAAACAATTTCGATTTCTTTTTTGTTTTTTCTTTTGCTATTTTTTTTTCTTTTTTTTTTAAATATATTTTTAATAAAGTAACCGTTAAAGATAAGGAACCAATGTCTTATGTAATCACGGTTGGTGCATCGCGACCAGTAAATTCACGTAATTTACTTATTTCTAATGCAATAGTAACCAATGGTTTTAGAATTTCTTGAGCATCTTTAGTTAAAGATGCTGGATCATCCTCATAGCTATCAACATATACACGAATGGTAGCTCCAGAACTTCCCGTACCAGATAAACGATAAATTATACGGGAACCATCTTGAAATAGTATTCTTAATCCCTGTCATATAAAATTACATAAAAATATATATTGCTATAATGTAATTATGAAGAATTTAAAGAATGATATAATACCTGTTTACTAGCTTGACTTCCATCAACAGGATCTGTATAACAATAATTGTCAGCTAATTTCACAATATATGTTTTGCTTTCAGATGTTAATTTTGAGCCCACAAGCTCAGGTTTTTGTAATTCTGATTCAATATGTTGCATCATTTTGTTTGCCATTTCAGAATCACAGTTTTCATAGTCATACCTGACATACATAATATGCAATTATAAAATTATAATAATAGAAAAAGTTTCTTCCATATATCTGCCAGTGATTCAACAATATTTCTTCTACAGACTTTCTAAGACTTGCAATTACACTAAGCCATGCAAGACATGCCCATATTCCATCTTTTTCACGAATATGATTAGAGCCAGTACCAAAACTTTCTTCTCCACAAAGTGACAGATGACCAGCATCCATTAAGTTACCTAATAGTATAAAATTGATGATAGAACATAATAATTTAATGTATCTAAAATATACACTACAGAGGCAACTACAATAAAATAAAAATTATTGTTATGTACCAAAATATTTCCAGCCTGTAGGTACTTCATAAAGTTTAATACCATTTTTAGCTGCAACTCTATCTACAGCAGCACCTGTTGGCATAGATCTAGCATATCCTTTAACACCAGTTTTTTTAAAATATGGTATTAAATTTAAATTTGCAGCTAATACAGCTAATGAGTCAGAAGGTGTAACAAAGAAAGCTTTCTTGCCTAATATCTACAAGGACATCAAGCATAAATTTATACTTCCTACATCTATTTATTTTTTATATTACTGAAAAAATTTTATTTACCATATTTCTGTCCCCATCTCCATCAAAAGCAGCACCAAAGTCATATGGACCATCTTTCATAGCATTTACTAAGCCTTTGGCATATGTTAAATTTGGATCAGGATGAAGTCCACCAAAATCTTCTAATGGTTCAGCATTAACAATACTTGAATTATCAATGCCTAACTCTTTTATAAATATTTGTTTGATGTACGGTCCCGTAACTAGAAATAATTATATAATACTAAACAAATGTGTTAAACAATTAAATAACCATTAAAATAATTTCTACATACCTCCATTCATTGCATTAATAAGAACTTTAAAAGGAGGATGATTATTACTTCCTTGCAATAATGTTTTAATACTAGAAAAGTCAAAGATATTTTTCATATGTTCTAAGTAATCACTCACAGAATCTACTACATCTACTGTAAATGGATTTCCATCCACCTGCATTGTAGTACTCTGTATCTTGTCTACATCTACAGTTATATCAGGAGCAATTTTATAGCTCTTGAGCACTTTAGTAATCTCATAAATCTTATTTGTGACATGATCTGGAGCAGGGCCACCATTTTCACAATTAAACTTTATACCAAAATCAGCATCTGGTCCACCAGGATTGTGAGATGCTGTTAGAACAATTCCTCCTTGCGTTTTATATTTTCTTATTATAGTAGATACAGCTGGAGTTGAAAGTATCCCACTTTGGCCAATTATTAATCTTTTTACCTAATGTAAAAATTATTTTAATAAAATTAGCTGGTACAAATACACAGTAGAAAAATTTAAACCATAATAGATATTGGACAAAATAAAATGCAAAGCATTTTTGACCAACTTTACATGACTAAAATTTAAATAAATATAACGTAAAGCGATAACACAAATTAACTTGCTTTGTTAGCTGCAGCGATCTTGATGATTTTTCCGACCGCTTCTTTCACGTAATATCTTCCATCGCCACCTACAACTAACGTACTACCAGGCAATTGGTCTCCAAGAGCTTGCAGTATTGCTTGAACGAAATTTTCTGTATAATGTTCTTGCATAAAAACCCGCACGGCCTTTCGCAATCCGGATGTACCCGGCTTTTGGCCATCGTATACTCGGGTTTCTATAATTTTACTCGTCACCGCGCTCGACATCTTTCAAATATTATAATTAATACGAAAGCAACTGAAACAAAAAACAACCGTTTGTTTGTATCTTAACCCAGACAAGAGTGAAACTTCAGATTTGAGAATTTCATAACACGTCCTCGGTGCTTGCTAGCAGACTGAACTTTGTCTACCAATGACACCCAAGGACACGAGTCACCATCTTGAAAAAGTGCGCCCGCGCTTTACTACCGTCTAATAATATCGGCTTTGTGAAGATGAATTCTTCAAACATTATATACAAATTATTCTTAAAGTGTAACTTTGATAACAAAATATAAATATTTGATAGAGAAATTCAATGACATAAGTTTACATTGACGTCTTATTGATTTTAGTAGTAGCTTCCGTTTAATATGAATCATATAAGACAAACGAGTAAAAATGCTAAATTAAACTTTCCTTATCGCTTGAATGTCTTAAACAAATAAGTTTAGTATACAAACTTTCTGTAGAATGTTCTCATCTACAAGAAACTCGGTTCATTCAATATTGCTCACTGAACTGATGCTTTGTTAACTTTATAGAATTTTAATTTATCAGTTTTTTAGAAACTACTAAATGCATATGTAATGCAAACAATTAGGAAAAAGATTCAATTTAATGTTGCGGAAGAAATCGATTACTTCTTGAATGAAAAAGTATGTTACGTAATTTCAATTCGTTGTATCTTGTTATTCAACGTCTTTTTCAACAATTTTTTGGTGGAGACATCCAAAAATATAGAAAAAAAAAGTTTAAATAAAAATTATACGCAGGCGTGGACGATCGCCGCTTATTATGATGATCAGCATTAGCAAAGAAAAATGAGGAGGAGGGAGCTTGTTATGTCAAGGATGTCTGATATAAGTACGCGGGTTTACAAAACAGACGCTTAGTTGTTTAAAACAACAGTTTTCTTGAAGTTTCAGTCGCGGAAGTGTGCATGTCTTAAAAGGTGTTATAAATTTTAATACATTTTATCACAAACATAATAATCATATTATATAC